GAGAAGACTGAAGATACAACACAGTAGAACTGATGATAGGATCCTAAGAGTGATCCTCTATAGAGACTAGAGACTAGATCTATAGAGAGGAGGTGGGTAGGAGAGTGAGTGACTAGAGAAAGTTTTGATAGCTTACAAATGATAAGAATACAGACACCCCCTATATCCCATTCACCTTAGCAACCAGTGCTGTAAAGGGCTAAAGGTGAATTTGATCATAACAATTTCCTCCTATGTCTGACCATCAGTGTTTCTACTGTACTTTTATCATTCATGTCCAGCTTTGCCTACGTGTTTCTGTGTACTACCTTAGAATTACTAAGTTACTAAAATTATTTGAGTTACAACATACTCTGTTTTACTATGCATTAGTGTACGGAGTATCCTTAGTTACCTATATGTACGACCCAATTCACAGTATTACATAGTATGGGGTGATGCATATACATGTCCTTATGCTGTGCATCAAGTTTGAGCTGATTCCAATCGAATTCGGATTTTTTATGAATTTTTAAAATTGCTCCAATTGCTGTCTACTGTGTACTGTATTTTAGTGCTTGTGAGCTCACGAAGCTCATGGTGTTTAGCTCACTTAGCATGCTTTGTGGGAAACCCTGATAATAGCTTACATGTACAATGTTTAAGCCAATTTAAATTACAATTATATTCATTCCTAGGTCGTTAGAGTGGGTTTGTCCTAGTTGTGGTGTTGCTAACAGGACAGCTTTACCTGAAGGAAGTGAAGAGGAGGCACGAGATACTAAAATTACTAAAGAAATGGAAGACATTGTATCACAAATGGCAATCAAAGTATAATATCACATATACTGTTCACACATATATTATACATCAGTACATGTAATTATAATTCAGCCATTGAACTATTGTTGTTTTCTATGCATGTAAAATTAACTTGCTTTTTATCATAATAAAGCCAAAATTTATCTCACTTTTTCACACCTTAAGAAGAAGTATTGTGCAAACTCATGTACATGTACAATTACATGCAACTTGTTTCCCTGCCTAGTGTAGATATAATTATTCCACCATTATATTTCATATAGTTATTATTAATAAAATTTATTTATTTCAGTCTCAAGAAGAAGTTGATGCTCAATTTAAGCAGCAAGTCCAGCGACAAAGTGAAACCTCACGTGTTCCCCAGCCTCGCCCTCCATCAACCGACCAATCAAATCAAAGGAATATTGATATCAAAGAGTCACATGATGAGTATAAAGATAAAGGAGAGACTGAGATTAATAAAGAATCATCAACTAGTGGAATTAGATATCGTGGACAAGAAGAAACTGATCAGCCTCTCTCTCCCCCTCCCTCCCTCTCTCCCCCTCCTCCTCTTCCTCCATCAGTGTCAAGGGTTGATGGTAGTGTAAAGAGAGAAGCACAAAGAGGATCATCAAATTATATGATTTTATTTCTTATTATTGTTATTGTGTTAGTAATAGTATTGCTGATTGCAAGGAGACTGAGTGGCAGTAATGGTAATAAAGCTGATCATCAGTAGTTAATGCAAATTACACATTTTATATTGTGTCATTTATATAATAATTGTTTATTTATTCAGTAATAAATATAATTTTAGTAAAAGGTTAAAAGGAAGACTACCTGAAATTTGTGGCACAGGAAATGAATTCGTAGAAAATAATTCATTTCCGGTTCCTGTTATATTTCTTCATGCTTCACCACCACTCTCGCCATCACTGGTAAGACTGGTACAGCAGTGGCACTATCGAGTACAATAGAATAGATACATACAGATACTAGTCATGTCTAAGGCAGAGGAAGATATCAAGAAGGTTGTTGCTGGAACAGAGTATCCAGTAATTGAAGAAATAGCCCTGAAATTCAAGCCAAAGGACACGGTAAAATATTGTGTATTATAATTTATAACTAACTGTACTACTACTTAATTTGCAGCTAATATTTAAAGAGATTGTAGAATCATAATTGGCTGGCAATTTTAAAAATTTTGGTATCCCACAAGTTTTGTTACACTTTAAATCATGTGGGTATATATATCATTGTGCTTATGTGGGGATTTGTTGTACTTAATTATTGTGGCAAATTAAGTGTGTCATTAACATGGGCAGCTACATGTAAAGCATGAAAGATCACATAAAATGTACTACATACTTTAGTTGAGACTGTTATTACTGTACATTAGAGTAACTCGGGGCTATTCCGACACGTTTCTGCACTATGATCTAATTAAATATTCACAAAGTCATAACTCGCTCTTCTTTGCTTCATTTCATTTATTTTATTTATCA